ATACTCAAAATAATAATAATAAAGAATAATAAGAAACTAGTATAAACTAATAAAATATAATAATAATAACTATAAAAGAGAAAGAAAAAGAAAATTCTATTACAAAGTATTCTCATTTTCAGTACCTTTTGTTCTGAAGTAATTAAAAGAAGACAGTTTAATTTGAATGATACTTCAGCTGTGACAACTGCATGATCTTTATGAATTTCTCGATCATGTTTTTTAAACTCAACAATAAAGAATGGAAAAAGTTGTTTTTTTTCGTTCTTTATAGCAACTACAAAGTAACAAAAAGAAGAACCACTTCCACCATTTCCAGGAACTAATTGGTGATATTCCCAAACTGGTTTGAACTGAACTAAATTATAGAGAAACACATCAGAAAGCATCCTACTTCAAAGCTGGATTTTGGAATGGCTTTTTAATAAGCCACTTTCTAATCCAAGACTTGGTATAGGAAAGTATGAACACACAGAAAAAGCTGCAGATAATACAGTATATGAGTCAATTACATAATCTTTTTGTAAACCAATTGATATTTTTATTGATTCATATAAAGAACTTACACTTCCAATCCTTCTTTCATCTATTATAAGATTCAGTAAAGGTACTGCAACTTTGTCAACTTGATGTAAATTAACAGCAGGCCTTGAGCAACTAGATATTTGCACAGCTATGCCAAATAGCTTACTATCAATAATTGACCATTTTAATAGTTTAAAAAGATGCTGACCTGACTGAGAAACCTCCTTAATCTGACTTTCTTGTCTTTCGAGAAGAATCTTGCAATATTCTTCTATTCCAGAGAAATTATAATGAACTAACAATATGTCATCATTTTTATCATATTCGCTGTTATATGGCCTTTTACTTACATGTGGGCTAGATAAATTTTTTTAAAATCGAAACTATAAAAATTACTTAGTAAAATATATATATACTAAATTAGCACTGCTATAGGTCTTCATATATAGATTAAGTATAAATATATGCATGCTCGAAAGCTCTGAATTGTCTCGGGGACAATCGTCTTAGACACTCTTCTTCCCCATACAAGCAGAATGGGTAGTAGCATATATTTACTGAATATAAACTATCACTAATTATAGCATAATCATATTATAACTAGGAACCGGAAACCGGTATGCAGTGTTTATTTTTCACAGTGCGCACACTGTGAAAAATAAACACTGCCGGTATGAGTCTGGAGCGCTAAATTTTTAAAATTAAAGTTTATATTACAAATCCTCTATTAATAAATAAATATATATTTATTATTATTAAGATTAAATTTTAAATAAAACTTAATTTATTTATTTATTTAATTTTTATACATATATTTTTATATTATAATTAAGAAATTATATATTTATATATACTGTATAATCAATATATATTGTAACTTTATTTTATTAATCTAATTTTTTTAGATTTTATATACTAATTCTAATATCTAACAAAACACTACATCTAACCCTAACCCTTACCCTATTTCTAACCCTATTATCACTTTTAACCCGATCTCTAGTACTTAACCCAATCGCTAATCCTAATCCTATTTTTATTAATAGCGGTAATACAGCAAAACAAATTTACAAATCAGCGTAATACTGCATATTATCCTTTAATAATTTCATTCACGTTATTCAGCCTACGAATATATGAGTCATTTATTAATCAATAAATAAAGTATTTAAAACAGAGATATAAATATTTAAAATATTTAATACCATAACATAATTCCTTTCAAATTATTTCATCGCATTAATCATTTCATTCGGTTCGTAAGTATAAAAATCAGTTGCATTAATCGTTTCATTCAGCTCATAGGTATAAAATATAGGTCGTACATTAGTTACGGCTGTTTTCAAAAATGTGCAAACAGCGATTTCCATATACCTATGTGGGAAGTCGAAGAAATTGGTAATTACAGCCGTTTCAAATAATGTGTGAACAACAATTTCTGTATACAGTACGTATGTATGAAATCGAATAATTTGAAAAATTAGATTAGTTAAAATTAAACTTCCCGATTAGAGTGGGTCTTGAAAATTCCGGAGGCCGAAAAATTTGAATCCTCCATCTGCGACCGTTCACACTTTTTGAAAACGGCTGTAAGCTTTTGGTCTTGAAAACTCCGGAAATCTGGGAAATATTATGAATTTCCCATGGCATGGTGATCTGTGACCGTTAACACCTTTTTGAAAACAGCTGTAACTGAATTAACAAATCATGAGACAAATAATTATTCCCCATACCTTGTTCTTCAGATAATTTCCTTCGTATTACAGCTGCTTTCAAAAAGGTGTGGTGTGGACGGTTGCAGATCACCGTGTCGTGGGGAATTCATAATATTTCTCAGATTTTCGGAGTCTTCAAGATAATTTTTACTAATCTAAATTTCAAAATTCTTTGATTTCCACATAGATATATGGAAATCGTTGTTCACACATTTTTGAAAAAGGTTGTAACCGTTTCACTCAATCATGAGTGTTATTAGTCAACGAAATTAGAATAATAAAACAAGATCATAAATCATAAACACAAATACTCGTACCTAATACTTTCAGAACATTTCCGCTATTTCATTCAGCTCGTAAGTATAAAATCATTGATTAGTCAATTGAATTAAACCAGCAAAAAAAATCCGCAAATCATGAACATAAATACTCATTTTCCTTACCAAATACCTTTCAAATCATTTGTTTTACTGCCCCGGTAACACAGATGTGATTAAGGCGAGTTCGTTGCATTGGAATTATAGAGATTCCCATCGTGAGTTACTGTAAAGAATTTCCAATACAAGTATGTGATTAGTCTGCTATGATTTCTATCGTGAGTTACTAAAAAAAAATCATGTTACAAACTTACTCACTTTTCCAGTAATACCAGTATTTTAAAGTTGAGTTAGTCTACGTTGGAATTATCGTGATTTCTGTAAAAAGTTGTAAAGTTCTAATACTGAACTTATTCGCTGCTACAATGTATATGTAGTTAAAGGACAAGTTAGTTATCACGATTTTTATTGTGAGTCACTGTAAAAATTTGCTACAGAACTTACTTGTTATTTCGGGAATACACAATTTGTAGTTAATTATGATTTTTATCGTCTTACTCCAGTGACACAGTGTAGTTAAGGTTGAGTTAGTTGCATTGGAATTATCGTGATTCCTATCATGAGTTACTGTAAAAAATTTCCAATGCTTAAGGTTAAATTAGTCTACATTGAAATTATTGTAATTACTATCGTGAGTTACTAAAAAAAATTGTTGCAAAACTTCTCACTATTCCAGTAATACCAGTATGTGTTAAGGTAGAGTTAGTCTACGTTGATCTCAGCCAAAAGTTGCTGAATGTATATATAGTTAATTTGCATGGAATTATCGTTATTTCTATCGTGAGCCACTGTAAATATTTCACAACAGAGTTTAAGAATTAGCTTCTCTAAAATAATCAGCTAACTAAGCTAGTATTAAACGGGTGAAAATTGAGTCATAAAATAAGCCAATAGCTAATGAACTCTCCTCTTTAAACCTAACTAATTGCTCTCACCTTAAAAAATTAATAGTTCCCAATAATCCTTATCTAAGTAAACTTATTGGTTAGTTAATTTAGCCGCTGATTTGAAAGCTCTCCGCCAAAAGAATCTTAGAACAGAAAAAAATTTACCAGTATGAGTTTCCAACTTCCCTAGTATAGTAAAATGTAAAGCCCTAATCGACCAAATTAGAGTTGTCTTGCTATTCCGGTAATATACAGCATGCGGTTAAGGTTGAGTTAATTTGCATTGGATTATCATGATTTTTATCACCTTACTATTCCAGTAACAGAGTTGAATTAGTTGCATTGAAATTTGTGGTTAAAGGTTGTAATTCCTATCGTGAATTATTAAAAAAATTCTATTACAAAACTTACTATTCCAATAGTAACAGTATGTGTTAAGATTGAGTTAGCCTACATTGGACTGATTATGTTCTCTGTCGAAGGTTGCTATAAAATTCTAATGCTGAACTTATTCCTAATGCAATGTATACATAGGTAAAGTTAAGTTAGTATTCATTAAAATTCCGGTACAAGTATAGTATGTAATTAAAAGTTGAGTTAGCCGCATTGTGGTTTCTATTGTGAGTTACTGTAATACATAACGATTGGTTGCTAAACGCGTAATCAGTTTTTGTTGCACAACTATTCAAATAAAGGTACGCGGCGTTACATCCGGAAAATGCAACAACTACGTTTTTGATATTTTTATTATAAATTATCAAAAACGTAATTTCGGTCATCAAACAGCGTAGAAGTATGAGTCTGTCGCTTCGCTCCAGACAAAAAGTTACGGAATATATTCAACACCCACGCCTCGGAAGCTCTAGAATGTCCGGGCGCTCTTTTCTCCCATGCAAGCAGTAATGAGATGTAGGATGGTTAATCAATACATGCGCACCACAAAATCCTGATAGGATATTTAAACTGTTCTTAATGTCAATAATTTTATTGGGATCACTCCTTCAATCAAAAGGTAGCCAGAAGCAGTTCCACCCAATAAGTTTCTGGACTTTAAACCCGAATTATTAACGAGGAAGAACAATTTAATCTTGCATCCATGAATCAGTGGTTATTATAATACTCCAACTAGATTGGTTGCAATCAATTGAAACTATTATTACGAACGAACCATGAAAGTACTAACCGTTATATTATTCAGAAGGGACACGGCCTTCTTATGCTTATTCGTATTTCGTTTATGTTTTTTCATTAGAACCACTAATTCTTTTTTAAGAGCATCACAAGATTGTTGATTCGTATTTGAGGGAAATATTTCAAAATAAAATTCATCCCAGCCTTTAACTGTCCAAGTTTGATAAGATCTTTCCCAATAATCTTTAAATAAATGATTGTTAGTAATATTTTAATTACCTTTATTTATAAAAATTTTCAGACACAAAACAATAATACAGTAAAACCTCTATAAATGCACACCTTTCCTATATACACACTCAACCTCTGGCCCAAACATATACAAGACCTTTATAAATGCACTTTTTCTTATTGTTTTCTAAATGCACGTTGTTAAAGTTCAGTCCCAAGAGCGTGCATTTATGGAGGTTTCACTGTAATAAAAATAACGTATTGATACTTACTGAATTTTGCAGTCGCTTTTTGTTTTGATGAAGACATAATTCTAAATATTATCGTGGACTAGTAAGACGTGTTTTCTTAAAAAAACGGGTTTTTCTATTGAACAACTTTAAAATACAGAAAATTAATTGGTCGTATGATGATTTACTTCGCGTACATCTATTACAGCATGTAGGTACGCGTAACAGCATAGTTAAAAATCCACCTGATTGGCTGTCGATCCTTGAAATCTTATTGGCTGCCTATAGTAAACGTTCTATA